TTTAAAGTACCTTGCATCTAAACCTCCAGAAAAGGCTTCCTGGCCCTAAACCCTAAACCCGAAACCCTAATTATAACCCCAATTAGGGTACTTATAGCCTTACTTACTAAGTCCCATGATCCTCCAAGTACCCTCTATTATACCACTAAACCCTAAACCCCTAAACCCCTATAATATAAGGGAATCCTTATAAGGAGCCCTGAAGAGGTAGGTTCTTCATAAGGGTCTAGCTAAACCATGGGGGGGCCTTCCCGAGCTGCTGGCGCGCGACGCAGCCTCAGAAGGCGGCCGAATCAATGGCCCTTTTGAGCATAAGAGACAGATCAGGCATTTTCAGGGTTCTATAAGGTTTGGGGGTTTAGGGTTCTATAGGGTACATAAGGCTTTGGGATTAGGGTTTAGGGTTCTATAGGGTATATAAGGCATTGGGGTTTAGGGCTTAGGGTTGTATAGGACGTATAAGGCTTTGTTCTTTGAGCACAAGAGACAGATCAGGCAGCTTAATGGTTAAACTCAGGGAGCCCAATACCCCTTCATTAAGGAATATACCTGAAATCCTAATATAAAGGCCCCTACAATTTAAGGTATATTCCTTATTTCAGGGCATAGGGTATATAAGGTTTGGGGGTTCACGCTTTAGGGTTCTATAGGGTATATAAGGTCTTGGAGTTTAGGGTTCTATAGGGGTATATAAGGTTTCGGGGTTTAGGGTTTAGGGGTTTATAGGATATATAAGGTTTTGTGTATGATGCTTTATAGGATTTTGACAGGTGTTTTGCCGGGTCAGTAGCTATCCGAAGAACTCAATGCTCCGGTATGTCTAGGGCTGCAGCAATAATGTCGGGGCCTCAATAATTAGAATAGGGTTCCTGTAAAGGGTTCTTAGCAGCTGAATCCTGCGGTGTAAGCGCCCTATTTGAGGCGTAACGGTGTAACGAAACATATACCCTAAACCCTAAACCCCAAGGTATAGTACCAATGATTCTTCAGGCTCTCACAAACATTGGCCTTGATACTTAGAACAGGGGGTTTTGGGGAGACATGAAACACTAGTTCGAGGGGGAAACTCGCACTAATTGTTCCTGCCTGCACCCAAAGTCCTAAACCCCAAACACACTCAACCTTGAACCCTCAACCCTCAACCCTAAAAACCCTAAAAACCCTAAAAACCCTAAAAACCCTAAAAACCCTAAAAACCCTAAACACCCCAAAAACTAGGAAAAAAAACTCTGAATCCGAAACCCTTTGATACTTGGGCCTCCTCAGTTTTGCGGCCTCCTGTCGGCTGCCTCCTTGCCTGGAGCGACCCACAGCGGCTGAGGGTCTTCGAGGGAGTAGGGATTATTAGGGGTTTAGGGTTTAGGGGTTTAGGGATTAGGAAGTTTAGGGGTTTAGGGTTTAGGGTTTAGGGTTTAGGGGCTTAGGGATTAGGGTTTAGCCGTTTAGGGTTAGGGGTTAAGGATTCGGAAGTATAAGGTTTAGGGATTAGGGTTAAGGGTTTAGGGAGTAGGGTTTAGGGTTTAGGGAGTAGGGTTTAGGGTTTAGGGAGTAGGGTTTAGGGATGGGACGGGATTAGGGTGTAGGGGTTTCTGTTTGTGGGTCGAGTGTTCTGATGTTTGCACTTAGAAGTCTGGGGTGTTTAGGAGCTTGTTGGGAGTTTAGGGCTTAGGGTTGGGGGTTTGCAGGAATCATAGCTTGCCAGGCTTTTCAGGATATTTTAAAAAAGTTAAATGCTATCGGAATTTACAGGGCTGCGGGGTCCTGAACCTAAACCCTAAACCCTAAACCCGAGAATGAGAGCTCCGAACCCCGAAGCTCTCCGATCTGCAGCACTGTATCGCTCTGCCATGTGGGCCCGTGGGGTTGGAGGGTTTGGGGCTTCAGGGTTTGGGGGTTTAGGGTTTAGGGTCTAGGGTCTGGGGTTTAGGGTTTAGGGTTGAGGGTTTGGGGGTGCAGGGTTTAGATGGGTATATGACCAAACCTGGCATAACCTGGCGTAAACTACAACAGGCGAACAACGGCTGAAGCCGTTTTGGAACACGTAGACAGACAGACGACAGACAGACGAACAAACCGACGGACGGACGGACAGTGGGACCGACGAACCGAGGGACAAACGCACAGACACTATATATGTGTAAAAATATGTTATACACACACTGATGAACCCTCCAACCGCAGCTCTTAAGTCGTAGCTTCGGGTCGCCTGTCGTCGTCGCTCGATCTGCCGCGCCACGCGTTGGCGCTTTGCTTCGAGAGCGGCGGCATCCTGCTGAAATAGGGTTGGCTTATTGAACGCTTTTATGGTTCGCATGGCCTCAGGTTCTTGCCGAGCATATGTGGGAGTTTCCGAAATAACAGGTATACCTTATTTTGGGGGTCCTTATAACAAGGATCCTACTAATTAAGTTACACTGGTAGAGTCCTCTATTTTCGGAGACCCCCATATGTGCGCGCGAGCCCTGAATGATCCGAAACATTATAAGTCTCTAGAAGTTCAGGACTCTCGTGCGGTTGGAACCCAGGCTACGAGCCTGTAAACCCTTGCCGAGAATCCTGGACCTGGTATCAAGTGGGTAGTTCTCTAAATTAGGGTCCCTTTTTAGGTCCCCAATATAGTACGGCACCCTCAGAAAAAGGACCCTAAAAGGGACCCTAATTTCGAAAACTACCCAAGTGAATCGCTAAAGCAAGTCCTCCGAGGTGTCGAAGAAGTTCAGCAAAGCTCCTGAAGGGGTTGGGGTTTACGTTTGTCGGGTTTAGTGTTTGTAGGGCTTTAGCGCTGTAGGGTCATAGATGTAGCACTGTGGGTCTAGAATTTCGGGTCTCGTAGCTTAGGCCCGTTTTCACTTCTAGTGCCTCTATACAGTAGCATTGCCGTGGGATTATCAGAAGGTTTTTCTTTGAGATTGTAAGAGCTTTCCTACGACTGTAATTACAAATTCGGTCTTACAGAGTTTGGTGTCCAAGCCTTAGGGTTTAGGAACATGTCGCTGCATAGGTGCTCCAGGCGAGTAAGAGCCGGAGCCCGCATAGCTAGAACTGGGATTCGAGGGTCCTTTGACACTCTATCAACATACGACAAATAAAAGCCCTAAAACGTAAACCCGACAGCCCAAAACGCAGTGTAGAACCCCTTAAAACCCCTTCAAACAGAACGTCATGCAGCACCCTTGAAACTCATTGTGGTCTCAAACCCTTCAAGCCAACCTTTCAACAAAATCTCCGTCTTCAGCTTCCTCCGGACCCCGAACCAACTTAAAGTCTGACTCCACTCTCACAAGACGCAGTGGAGTAAGGGTTTAGGAGTTTAGGAGTTAGGATTTATAGGGTGTAGAGTTCAGGGTTTAGGGTTCAGGGTTTAGAGCTTAGGGATTGGAGTTTAATGTATAGAGTTTAGAGTTTAGGGAACCCTACAAGACGCAAAGTCCCAAACCCCAAAGCGCGGAGCCCTCAGCCTCCTATAAATCCAACGAATCCGGCAACACAGGAGATGCAAAGCCTTGTAGGGGTTCAGGGTTTAGGGTTTTTAGAGTTGAGGGTTTAGGGTTATATAAGCCTGTAAACCATCAACACCAAGCGCCTCAGAGGAGTCCATAACTTAATGGACTGCTGTTATAAGAAAACTAAAGACTTGCCTATCCGACCCTAAACCCTAAACCCTAGCGCCCAAACCCTAAACCCCTAAACTCGAAACCCAAGCTTTAAACTGTACTTCGAGGATCATGGGACTAAGTAACGAGGGTTATAAATAAGGTAACTATAATTATAACCCCAATTAGGGTACTTATAACCTTACTTACTAAGTCCCATGATCCTCCAAGTACCCTCTATTATACCACTAAACCCTAAACCCTAAACCCCTAAACCACGAAACCACTAAACCTCGAAATCCTAAACGAACCCTAAACCTACATACCCACTATGAAGGACCATAAGGGCTCTCTGAAGGCTTAAACTCTATCCCATCTTCCCCCTAAACCCTAAACCCTAAACCCCCAAACCCCTAGATCCTAAACCCCTCAACCCCTAAACCCTAAACCCCTAAACCCCTAAATCCTAAAGCCCTAAACCCCTAAACCCCTAAACCCCTAAATCCTAAATCCTAAATCCTAAACCCCTAAACCCCTAAAAGCCATCTCCCCCTTTCGTCAGCCGCCCAAGGCCTGATGCAGAAACGTGAACCGCACCAGCTCCCAGGGGCGAGTCCTGGCTTTCCCTAAGGCTCCATAGCCCCATACAGTAGGGTTCTTTTAAAGGGATCTATAAGGGGCTTCTATAAGGATTTAGGGTTGAAGGTTTAGGGTTTAAGGTTTAGGGTTTAGGCCAAAAAGTACCTAAATAGGGACCCGTTTGAGGCCTAAGTATCTACTATAAAGGTACATGGAGCCTTTGGGTTTGGGGCGCGTTTTTAACTCCCAAAGCAAAAGGCGGTGGCGCGTAGGTTTAGGGTTTAGGATTTAGGGATTTAGGGTTCTAGGGTTTAGGGTTTTAGGGTAACCCTAAACCCTAAACCCTAGGGTTTAGAGCTTCGAGTTTAGGGTTTAGGGCTCAGGGTGTGGGGAGCATAAGGCGAGTCCAGTTCAGGGCGTATCGTTTTCGGTGGCCTGTAAACCTGTGTTTCCGTATTTCCATCTGTACTTGTGCATGAATCCATACACAGCTTATGTGTCGACATGAAAAGATGCATGCCCAAAGGTTTGCCAACTTGTCTGTTCATTCGTTCATCTTTTTCATTTATCGCGCAGACAGTTGTCGTACATGCGCATATGCACGACAAAGTAGCACATAATATGCCAACACGCACAAATATGTGTGTGTACGTATATATATATATATATATGTGATATGATATGTATAGATCTGGGCATGCTGCTACCCAAGGTCATGTCCCAACGACACACAAAAACAGATGAAGCATGCGAAGTCCGTTCTCTGCGTAAGTAAAACAGATAGCAAGATTCCGGCCAGCATGCACAACACGTAATTGTAGTGCATACCTTCATGAACCTATGAAAGACACACGTTCATGTATGGAGATACACATGAACGTGCAATCAGCATAAACTATCATTTCTATAACCCCGCCACCAAAAGGCAAATTTGAATGTTGGGTTCAGGCCCGTGTTACGCACCTTGCCATGCTTTTCGAGGCCAGGTTTAGGAAGACCGGGCACGTTAACCCAGGCTTGTGTCATACGATTGCTACTGTAATTTTTCTATGCCAGGACGCGAAACTCTAGCCATGACGAGAACAAGATATGGGTAGCTTTCTAAATTAGGGTCCCTTTTGGGATCCTTTTTATAAGGGTGCCGTACTATACTGGGGACCTAAAAATGGACCCTAATTTAGAGAACTACCCATATATAAAATTGTGTGACTTTTCCTTGCCTGCAACGTGAACATCGAAGATCTGAGGGAAGACTTTCGTCAGGAGTCTTCAGTTGTTCAATATTCACAGCATGCAAAATCAATAACAGATTAAACAATTCAAATTCCCTGCTTTCAACATGAAACATCGACGATTTGAGGGAAAACTTTCACAGTACTTTCCAATGTTCTATGTTCAGCGCACGAAAAATCAGAAACTTGATATTGTTTGATGATTTGATTTGGTGGTTGGCTTCTGATCAGACCTGCTCAGATTGCCATGAGCTTCATGTCTACTGAATGACCTCACTGCACATGCACTTCCAATGACCTAGCAAAGGGCATGCGTATGCAGCTTTGTCGAGAAAAGAATGAAACATTTCCGCAAGTGTGTTGTCTGTTGTCGAGAGCTGCATAGAATACATATCGATCTATCTACCCAAGGTATCTGCCTGAGAACCCTTAGCCCTGAAACCCTAAACCCTAAACCCTAAACCCTAAACCCTAAACCCTAAACCCTAAACCCTTAGCCCTGAAAGCTTAAACCCTAAACTCTAAAGCCTGAACTCTTAAAGCTGCCCTAAACCCCCCTTATTCACCCCTAGACTCAGACCCTCACAAAACCAGTGAAAGGACCTTTGACAACCCTACACTCTAAACCCAAAGCCAGTGAAAGGACCTTTAATAACCCTACACTCTAAACCCCAAATCCCTGAAAGGTACCCTGAAAGACTAGGTTTGCCAGTAGCCCCTTAATAATAAGGGAACCCTTTTCCCTACTATTTGGTTTTAATAGGGGAGCCCAAAAAGAAAAAGGGCAAAAGGGTACTACTGGGAACCTAGAAGAGACACTCTCATCTCCTCATCGGCTTCTTCGGCCTTGCCGTCCTGGGCCTGCACCGTTGGTTTAGGGCTTGGCAGCCTATGATATCTTAGGGGTTAGGGCTTAGGAACCCTGAAAGGGTTCCTTGAAAGGCTTAGGGTTTAGGGTTTAGGGCTTAGGAACCCTAAAAGGGTTCCTTTAATTTAAGGGTTGCGGGTCCCTAAAAGGGTTCCTCTAAGGGGTTCTATGGTGGTATTGTCGGTTTTAGGGTGAGGGGTTTAAGGCTTTGGGTTTTCGACCTAGGAGCCTATGATATCTTAGAAGCTGTGGGTTTGGGGACTTGGTTAAAGGAAACTACCGGTGGGGAGTTTTGGGTATATAGGATTTGTGTAAGGCTTCCATAAGGTATATAGACCTTCTATAAGGCTCCTATAACGGTAACTATTTAAAGGATCATGAGACTTAGTAACTAGGGTTATAAATAAGGTAACTATAACTAGAACCCCAATTAGGGTACTTATAACCTTACTTACTAAGTCCCATGATCCTCCAAGTACCCACCTGAAAATGTCCTAGACTTGGGAGCTCGAGATATCCTGGGGCTCAGGGTTCCTTCAGAGGCGCTGTACGAAGGGTTCCCTAACCCCAAACCCTAAACACGAAAACTCTGAACCCTAAAACCCTAAACCCTAAACCCTAAACCCTAAAACCCTAGACCCCATAAACCTTCAGGGGCTCCTTTGGCTATGGTATCTGACGGACTCAGCGGTCCCTTCGAACAGTTTCTATGAGGGTTCTACAGGGGTTCTAGTAATATAGGGGCCTTAGTATAAGTAACTACCTTTATTAATTTGGGGGCTCCTTATTATAATAGTATAATGGGCCCCAAAACCCAATACTAACTATTAAGGCCCCTATATTACAATGATTAAGGCCAAGGCCAAGGCGAGCATGTGATAAGGATGTTGGGTTAGGGTTTAGGGGTTTGGGATTTAGGTTGAGGGTTTAAAGTTTAGGGGTTTGGGTTTAGGTTTGAGGGTTCAGGTTTCAGGGTGCAGCCTATGATAGGACTTCTACCAAAGCATCAACCAGCCCTGGAATGGGAATCTTCAACACCACAGTCACAACTTGCAACCCCAACCCTAAAGCCGTAATTACCGTAAGGCCTTAAACCCTAATGCCATGAATCCCAAAGCCTGCAAACCCTAAAACTCCTAGAAACATAAATCCTACATGCAGCATGCATGCATGCATGCATGCATGCATGCATGCATGCATGCATGCATGCATGCATCCATGTATGCACCCCAAACACATGTGCACACACGCACACACACTCACACGTCTCTCTCGTTCTCTCTCTCCCTCTTTCTCTATCTCGCCCTCTGTCTCTCTCTCTCTCTCTCTCACTCTCTCTCCCTCACGATCAGGCACCTGCGTTTGCAGAAGTGAACAAACAAACATACATTTATACATGTGAAGCCATGGAATTACTGCGAATTTGCATAGTCTGGGCTTTGAAAAACCACGTGTTGTATCACTCCAGGATTTGAGCAGTACCCGATGATGTGCATAGAACCGTTGTAAACGTCATAAAACCCTTCTAAGAAGACCCCTTACAGAACCCATACGGGAGACTTATAGAACCCTTGAAATGCAAAACCCTTATAGAATCCTTCCGGAAGCCCTGATAAGAGCCCCTCTTGGACCCTTACAGGCCCTAAACCCGAAACCCTAAACCCATATCAAAACCCTAAACCCTAAGCCCTAATTCCTAAGCCCTAAACCCTAAGCCCTTAAAAGAACCCCTATATAAAAAGAGCTCCATACTCCTTGCCTCGCCCGGAGGCAGGCTCGGAGCAGAGGCCTCCGATCCGAGTTGACAGAGTAGCTTACTTGGAGGATCATGGGACTTAGTAACGAGGGTTATAAATAAGGTAACTATAATTACAACCCCAATTAGGGTACTTATAACCTTACTAAGTCCCATAATCTTCCAGTAGGGTTTTGCAGTTGCGTTTCTTGGCTCACGGGCTTTGTAGGGGGTCTTACGGGGCTTGGCAGGGGTTTCAGCTTGTTTTCCATAGGGTTGGTTTTGATAAGGTTCTGGATTATGGATGCTGTTGAAGAGGTTCCGACAGGGCTATAAGGAAAAATTATACAGTCTCTCAACAGCCTAGGGAACATCACCTAGGAGCCCAGTTGTTACCTATATAGTGGGTCATTGTCCCTCACACACTATGCAAGCCTCTTACCCACGACACAGTCACTAACCGTATAGGTAACTGGGCTGTCAGGGATAACTCACATTATTCCAATCAGTCGTACCCGGACCCCCCAGTAATCTGCAACATGGGTACTTGATAAAGGTACTTTTTAAATCAGAATCAGGAACGTACTATACCCAAGAGGGCTCCAGTAACTCACATAGTAGGTTGCTTACCGCAGACTATACAACCCAGTAGCCCGTTTGTTGTGGAGCAACGTCTTGCTGCTCTGGTGTTCTTTACGTTATATAAACCTTCCCCCGTCCTAGAAGACATGGAAACCCACCCAGGGAATGAGTTTTGGAGGTTTATCCACTCCATTGCGTCGCCTTGCCTCAGGCATGTCGTAAACAAGAGATCAACCCCAGAAGCACTTGCAAATCCGATGGTCCCATTTGGCCTCGCCAAAGAGTTTATGACCCCCATTCCCCCTCCTCGCCCGGCAGGGCTAGGATCCTATAAGGCCTCTATTCGGGTTCTATAGGGTTCTACAGGGTTTAGGGTTTAAGGTTAAGGGTTTAGGGGTTCAGGGGAGATTCAGTTGATAGACCGTCGTATCCGTATAGATGTTCAAACCTAGTCCATCAACGTCACGGGTGTCAATCAGATTGTCCTTTGCCTCGTCCCGATCAGGTACCGGACCCAAGGCTTTCGTGATCAATCCACTGCTATGCGCCAGGTCCAATGCAATATTGGCCTCCTGCAGGCTTCCCCCTGTTAGTTGGAAAAACGAAGCACCAAGACTGGGCTTCACTTGCTTGGCCGATCCAGCTAAACCAGGTAGCGTCACCTGTGCTTGGTTCTTCATGTGAAAGCTTTTGCCGCGATGGGCGCAGAATCCGAAAACCAGCCGCAAGGCCAGAGATTTCCAAGGCATGAGCCAAAGATGGCTACGGAAGGTTTAGGGGGTTTCGGGTTTAGGGGTTTAGGGGTTTAGGGATCTAGGGTTTAGGTTTTTTCCATGGGCGTTTTAACGGGATAGTCTGATACTGATTAGTTCTTCAGACCTCATTAGTAGCGGGAGGCCTTGGGTTGCTTTCGGGATATTGGGAGGTCTGATAGACCCTGAACCCTACACCCCAAACCCTAATAAACCCTAACAGCCCCAAAACCCTAACCCCTAAACCGAGCTTGAGTCAAATAGCTAGGGCCTTAGGGGCTTAGGCTTCGGGGTGTGAGGGCCTTAAGGTTTAGGGTTTTAGGGTTCAGGGGCTTAGGGCTTCGGGGTTTAGGGGTTGAGGTTTTAGAGGTTTAGGGGTTTAGGGGTTTAGGGTTTCAGGGTCTCTACCCAGAAGACTCCGAAGACCCTTGTTGCCTTGTTCAAGGATTCTACCTACAACCCTGTTGGTTATGTACTGTAGGGGCCTTAATAAGTAGAATAGGGTTTTGGAGTTCCTTCTTACAAGTATAGTATAATATACCTGCAAACCCTATTCTAATCATTAAGGGCCCTGCTTTGATGTCTTTCTTAGCCCAACTTGGAATGCCACACGAAGAACAGCTACCTAAATCTAAGCCCTACCATTCTGACCGCTGGACCCTAAACCCCAGCCGATTTAGGGCTTAGGGTTTAGGGCTTGGGAATTAGGGTTTAGGGCACCAAGCATGCGATGCGCAATGCAAGGGCGATGCCTCGCCAGCATCCCTCTCTTCCTCAGCGTCCGCCGTGGCCGACAGATCAAGGCTTCGAGTGCCTGCACTCGGAGACTCTGAAAAACACTTTAAGTGATGTAGGATGAATAATTCGAATAGGGTTTTGGGGTATATTCTACTGTAATTATAATAGGGAACCCCCCAAAATAGTATAGGTATTTATAAAGGCCCCTATATCAGCACGCTCTGCGAGGCAGCACGGCTCGGGAAACCCCTGACTTAAGAGGCCGCTAGACCCTAAGCCCTCCAAAGCCTAAAAACTACAGCTTAGGGTTTAGGGTTTAGGGTTTAGGGTTTAGGGTTTAGGGTTTAGGGTTTAGGGTTATCCGATGAGCCCTGAACGCTAACCCCTACACCCCTACCCCTAGACCGTTTAGGGGTTTAGGAGTTTAGGGTTTAGGGTACCCCGAACCTTAAACCCTTAACCTAAGGGCCGGGCTAGGACTATGGCCGCACCAAGGACTCTTGTTGTCTCACCCTTAAAGTTCGGCGCAGGGCCTAGGACTCAGACCCCGGAGAAATGATCACACACGTAGGCCCGCATTGGGCATGAAGCGCTCCAGAGCATGCACGGGTTGCTTGCAATGGGAGCTAAAGTTGAAAAGAAGCACAGCGGGCGTGGGGATGCAGAAGCCTGGCTCGTGTGGCCCAGACAACATGCCGCATGGCTTAACTGCCTGTAACAGGGG